AAAAAAACTTTTTTTTTGACACATTGTTTCACCTGAAACTTTCAGCTAAATTCATGGGCAATTGCAGTAATCAGTTGCTAAAAGACATGAATACACATGAGAGCTTCTCAAGAGCAGCAGAAAGCGTCCACTGCAAACAAGCTTGGCGTGAGATTGGCGTGAGATTGGCGTGACATTGGGAAATGGGGTGCGTGTTCAACGTCTATGAAAAGCTGTGTGCTGATCGCTGAAGGCCTCTATTCCCTCCCACTGCGACAACACAAGTCACTGGGAAAACACAATGTCAGTGATGGGGCCATGGATGGCATGGTGCCACACAGCTGGGGGGGAGGGAGGGGGGGTGTGTGGCTCAGATCAGAAGGTTGCCGATTGAAGCCTTTGCAGAATAATCACATCTCCATTGGGCCCTTAAATGGATAAATGACCGACACAGTGCTCAGACCCCAAACTTGTGTGTGTATGTGAGAGCAATGCACCTATAATTGTGTGAATAAAGCATCATCATCTACACCACATGCATAACACACCATGGACCTGAAGACATGACATTTTGTCTGTGATGAGAATAAAGTGGATTTGATCAACCTCTAAGCCTTTCCGTTTAGGCTGCAGTGTAGCGTAGAATTTAAGGAGGTGTATCGTGGTTGAGAACGGGAAGGAAATTTAAATCTTGTTGTGGACACTGCTGATGTCTCGTGGAGGCTGATGTTCGACCCGATTCGCCTCAGTGAACACCACCGAAGCAGGCCGTCTACCTGACCCGGAGGACACTGTACAATAGCTCAGATTCTCTCGGTGGCTGTTTTTCCTACAACACAAAAAAACCATTCTGCCACTTTACACCCTGGCATGACCAGGGCTTCCGATCGACCAAGTATGGGCATGAACCCATAACCACCGGTGTTTTCTGCGTGAGAAGATCACATTACGCTCAGTGTGTGCAGTTACAAATAGCGGCTTGCATTGGTTTTCCTTGTATGCCAATAGATCGCCATTACTTGGAGGCAGACCCAGATATCTGATCCATGATCCCACTCTGTTGATGCCTGTGGACCATGTTATTGCAACAAAGAAGACCAATTTTTTGTGGCACCTCAGACACCCCTGGCAGGACCACCTCAAACAATAATTTTGCACCCTCACTAATACCATACAGCCTAGCGGTGAACACAGGAAGAATCTACAAACACACTTTATCTCCCTCAACCATCAGGCATTTAAATGGCTTTTCAGCTCCACTGATTCCGGTGGAGAAGTAAACCAAACACATGTCAACTAAACAAGACCATCAGGCTACTGCTCGTCAAATGCACAAAGAATCGTTCGTCTGTCCCGTATCACTTACAGAGAGTAAACAAATATCAAGGGGTATTAAGAGAATTAAGGGTACGATGGAGACGAAAGCAGAGCTGGCAGTTTCATCTGAAGTTTACACTGGCTGAACTTAAGTGACAGAGATAAGTGAATTATCACTTTAAGTGCAAAGTGCTGGTGATGTGAAATCACCAACACATTTCCGACCTCTCTGGAAAACCAAGGAGATCTGTGTGAAGAGCTTGAACTGGGCCAACAAAAACATTATCAGCAGATGTGATCCAGCTGACCGCATTTACCCAGCCGTGTTCCTAATAGAACATGGAAGACTTTCTTTTTCCAGCACCCCACACCCCAGTCTCCATTCAGACTAGGACCTGAAGTCCAGATCTGATTCGTCTGGGGCAGTATCTGAATGTCTGCTAAGTCTGGCAAGTGAAAGGCCTGTGACTAGACCTGGAAGCTTCACGGGGGTCAGCCCCAGGTCAACACACAGCAGACAGCAGCCCTTGACCCCGTGGAGGACCCTTCTCCAAGAGAACCAATTGAAGACCCCTAAGGTGGAACAGGAAAGGTCAACGTTGGGCAATGTTGCGTGCCGATTCACTCAAAATGGGAGAAATGAAGCGGGAAACAGTGGTCCCCAGAGAGGAATAAGTCTAACAGACATGCATGAAGACACGCTGGAGACTCTGCTTTCAGATGGGAGCCTAGGAGGATCAAACCTCACCTTTGGGGACTGCTGTCAGCTTTGATAATTATCAAAACTTTCCCACTATATTTTGCCTCTGTGGCTATGTAAATCACTCTATTAAATGAAAAGGCATCTAAATGTAAATGATTTGCATTATTTTGCCCTAATATTCCATTTTCACATATTACAAATTTCTTCTGTAATTGTATAATTATTTTGACAGTTTGAGACCCCCAAGGTTTGAGGTCCCCTGTTGGCCACAAACAGTCATTACACTAAATATTAAATCTTAAATAAATATTAAAAAATAAATGCTCTTCATACTGAATCAGTATGTTCTGATAGCGAGCTATGATCTTCTGACTTTACTCACTGATTGCCAAAAAAAGGTTAACTAAGCTGAGCAGATTCTTCACCACAAACGATTGATGAGAATGCAGCAAACTTGGTGGGATTAGGGTTAGGGTTGGGGTTGGGTTAGGGTTAGGATTAGGGTTGGGGTGGTAAAAATGATTTTTTTTTTGCATTTTATTACATAATTGATAAATAATTCAGCTGTCTAGGAATTATATCCCCTAAGCTCCTCTGATCAGTTTCAAATTTAGCCACAACAATCACATCATGCCACCCAGCAACTGGTAAGTGCAGAGTCAGAGTCTAAGCCAACATGCAGAATAATAATTTGAAGAAATCCCCACCCAATGAAAAACATACAGGTAAAATAAACTTACAAGCGCACTCTAGGTTGGATACCCTTGTATGGACAAAAAGAAAAACTCTTCGCAAAAGGACTTGAAGTCAGGAAAAACCTAACAACAAATATTGGTGCCAATTAGTAAGAAATCTGAAGTCGATTCCGGCCCAGAATGAATCTTAGAAATTAGCCAGCAAGGGTGTGGTCCTCCTCTAAGGCCATAGACGAGCAGAATGACCAAAGAAAGGAAAACAAAAACAGAAATGGCAAACAGTGAAATGAGGCAGCAAGCTAAAGTGTGAATTCCTGAAGGTTTAGATGCTTGCATTGTGCCGGGGGGGGGGGGGGGGTACAATAACAATTCCCCTGTTCAGCCCTGGGCTGGAATAAATTCATATGAAGTTAACAAGCATCTTTCCCTGCAGGCCACCAGCATGCGAGGCAGCTCATGCGGCTCTGACTCTTTAATAGAGAATAAATAAGAACCAGCAGCAGGCGTAACTTTCTGCTGCTCTCACTGCAGCTGACGCAGCTGCTGAAACAGGAGCTGATTATACACAAGCACAGAGGTGTGTTATCTTAGCTTGACCTCCTATCCATTTAATAAAAAAAAAGTATGTAAAGGCAGCATTCACACACCGAAGGGCTCGATGGGCCACTGAGGACGTAACGTCAGCTTGAGGTCTCGTACGTCACCCCTGACCGTGCGACCAAGAGTGACTCGTAAACGCTGGAAGCAGGATGCGAACTTCAAGAATTTTTATCTGCTGCAGGACTGAATGCATGTAGCCAGTCATGTCTCCACTAGCATTAAGATCAGTCCAAACTGCAATCAGTCTTTCTGCCAGCAAAAAAAAAGTTCTGGTTCGGATCTAATTTGCTGACTAATTTGCTGTCATTTGAAGCCCCATGTTGTCGACTCAGCATTAAAGTAGCCCACAAAGTTCACCAGTGACCCCAAGCTGCAGCTTTTTAAGAATCATTTCTCTGTAAAAGACCAGGGAGAGGGGAGAGGACCACCTGGACCATCGGCATTGGCTCGCTGCCTCACGGTCGCCAGGTAACGCAGCTGGCCATCAGCCAATTGTCTTTCATGTAGCGATGGAACGCATGACATCGCTCATACTCCATTCATGCCGTATCTCTAACGACCGTCACGGTTGACAGACCTGAAGAGGGACCAACTTTCTTTTTTTTTTTTTTAAATACCTACCCCCAGTGCTAAGTGTCCTTCCCAGTCCTGATGATACCACCATCAAGTGGCCCCTACCATCATAAAACAATAAAATCAAGACTAAACTACTTCTGTACCAAAGTTTCAATCCACTTAACGCCAAAAATTTTGGCTTTAAGCAGCTGGGAGGTTAGACAAAGGAAGACAGACCTCATGCAACTGAAGGGCTGCTGGAACACAGTCAAATAATGTAGCTTGTTTCCTCATGTGAAATGCTCCGGAGCCTGGATGTAATCTGTATACATTCCCAGGGCCATTTCTCTTGTAGTCTGTATTTAAGCTCAGGGAGGGTACTGCTCCTCATAATCAGAAGCAAGCTATATTACACGGTTTTTTTTCTGGAAAGATAATAACCCAGCCTGAATGTCCAAAAGCAATACATCACGGGGATTATAGTGTGGATGTGAATCCCTTTATTGTGTAAGAGAAGCGCCAAGTCAGCCTTAAATACAAACACACTTATATAAAATTGTGTGGTTATTATCCCACCAGAGACAACCTGTTATAACTCAAATTAACTTAATAACTACAGATTAACACCACTCTCCCAACACTAAAACGGGTAACTTCATTTTGGCTGGAGTCTCGGGAAACACATTTTCATATAGCTGACCTGCTTTAATTAAATGAAGTAAATTCAATTATGTTTGCGTGGAAATTGCAAAAAAAAGGGCAATTTCTTCAGCTGGAATCAGACTTAATGGGAATGTATGAGCACCAAATAAACAAACAAACAGTGGCTCCACGAGATAAAATAAACCAAATTATTATAAAATAAAAAGAGGCTAGACGTGACAAACCCGATTATTAAGAAAAGGCATAATGGACACAATGAAAACGGATAATACAATCATAAAAACAAATTACAGACGAAAATATAAAGCGTTTCATTTATTTGATTTGTAGTTAAACAGCCGATTTAAATTTTATCAAATCCTGAAGCAAAAATATGTAACCAAATCAATCCACAAGCTAAACACGAAATCGGGTGGATGGCACATGATTGTCTGAATCGATCTCGTTACATAGATCGCGCATTTTATTTATCTTCTCGCTACCCTTACCTGTCATTGCAAAACCCGACCCGGTCTCTGCGGCAGCATCAGTCGGCTCCACCTCTGCAGGAGCACCGACCTCGGCGAATACCAGCGACAGGAGGACCCACTTTGGAAACATTCTTCACTCTTTTGCTAACATTTAAACTAAATAAAAGAAACGTAACACTATGGATATCCCCCCTTGTCTTGAGGGACACTGCTGTCTTGGCGGAAACGGTACATGTTTTATACTGGAAAACTTTTTTAAAGTATAATTTCGTATTTGGTCTGACTAGTCTGTGTATTTTTTATACGTTTTACTATTGCCGCGTATAATAAACTGCTCTACAGCCGAGAGTATACTCTCTCTCCCCCCGGTCCTTTCCACTTGCTCTTATATAGCCCCTGTCTCCGCCGAGTGCTCATAACTTAACACGCACCTCGGCATTGAAGTGGCCGGGATTGACGCCCACGGCCCCGCTTTGCGGCCAATCAGATCGGGCCGCCCTCCGATGCCGCACCTCAGCGGCCCCAGCGCTCACATCACCTGGGAGGTGAGGGGCGTGATCCCCCGTAACAACTGCGGCTCTAGCGACGCCGGTAAGTAATTATCCTGAATTAAACCGGGCGTGTTTACCCTGGTGTTTAAACGTATTCTGTTTCATGTTGCTGTGTTTATTATACACAAGCAACAGCAATTTATTCGCTAAAGATATAAACATTAAGATAATAAAAAATAATAATGCCGCACCCTGTACTATTTTTTGTCTAAATGTATGCGCGCGTGTGTGCGCGCTACTGCATGCAAACCCGCAATTTACTTGAAGATTATTAAAGTACCTATAAAGTACTATAAATAACCCTTTTTCCTTGAGATGAACAAATTGGTGGAAAGAAGAATAACGCATAAAGCAGACAGCCTCACTGGAGGATTGATTGATGAATTATTATGCATGGACTGATAAATATTGGTATAATGCATGTGGACTACAGTAAACCGCACAATGTCACGAAATAACAAGACACGTTAAATTTAATGGCGACTTTGATCACCGTACTAGTCTAAGTCGCTCATCTACAGGTAAACGGGTTAACTGCTGTATTAAAAGCAATGAAATGTGCGTTCAACATGTACTGTAAAGCTGCCTTTCATGGTCAACCGCAAGACAACTGGACCCTGCAATTTATTAGCGGGCTTCGCATGCGTGGTTAAGACTGATGTATTGGCCGTTGCTGGAACTGAAATACTCATGTTTCTTGTTAGCACTGCAGCGATTAAATACAGCACCCGTAATTATATATCAGTTCCCGAATATGCGTTATTAAATTTTTATACTTCGGCGTTGCTTGGAAAAAAATATATTTTTCTTTCACACAGAGTTTTGTTTTTGTGAATGCGTCTTTCGTGGTTTTTGGGACATTAATGCAATTGAAAACAGAAAGCCCGTGGTTGTAAATCTGGCCCATCTTAAAGAAATGTAACAAGGTTCAATAAATATCTGCGCCGTTTTATGTCCGTTTGAGCTCGCACGTCACTGAGGCGCGCTGCTGGTCCGTTCGGAGCTCGCTTTCCTTCATGCCTTCCCGGGCCAGGTAATCTGATAAAAATCCTGCCATCTGATACATTTCGTAAATCCCTTATGCACCAGCCAAACGACAATTTAGGGATATTCCCCGTACTTGATAGACGAAATTACCTTATCTTCGCATCCAATGGGTAAAAGCGGGGAAATAATCAGTATAATAACCCAAGAGAAACGGAACGAAAGTTGATCCAGTCAGTTTCAGTTCCGGTCCACAAACATAATGTCAATGTCAAATCATCATCCAAACACAGCAATGGGAACGTTTTAATTTCGTGAAAAGCAGGCGAAGAAATCAAACTGATCTGACAGCTATTTCTCTTACACTTTTCACTGACGGCAGTAAAATACTAATGAGGAACAGAGCTGGCACGACAGACCACAAAGGATGAGCTCACCATGACTGTTTTTTTTTTTTCAAAGTTTTATTTTTGCGTCTTGTTTTAGTCCAAGGAGTACGCCTCATACAAAATATACGGTAGAAACAACGGCAGGCTTATGGCCATCACACAGCAATCAGGCAGCAATCAGTGGGACAGTTACCTCTGATTCCTCTCTGTTGCCTGAAAACCTTTTTATGATGTTCAACACTGTTCATGGAATATAAGTGTCTTTTTTTCCATAAACGTCCAGTTTATATCAAAGATCAGAAATCAATAACTGGTGAAGACATATTTAAAAAATGAATAAGGATATATATATATTTTTTTTACATGCACATACTTTTTTTCTCCACACATGCAAACATTGCTTTTTCAAGCTGGATGAAATAATTTAAAATAAAAAAGTGAGGATGACTAATTTGATGGGGGGGGGGGGGCTAATGACAGTAGAACAGTCACAGTAGGTAGGGGTGATTATTTGGCAGAGAAACCAAATAATTATGGCAGACTCAAACCCTCCTCATTAATGAGACGAACGCTTATATGGATTAATGACCCATAAAGCAAATTCTCTGTACCACTAAGTCGTTCCTCATTGGCTAGTGCTGAGCGTCAAGGGGAGAAAAGACAAAGATAATTAAAAATGCCCATACGAGTTGTCATCATGATGACATCGACTCTTCGTCTCGTTTCAAAGCAACACTTCTTGAGCTCCACAAGCGAGGCTGTGATAGGTGCAGTTTTCCATTAAAATCACACATCCACTTGCTGATTGGTCAGATTATTATTATTATTGTGCCTTTACATGTGTCATACTTTTGCGTGTATATACAGTGTGCATTTATATCCTGCAGCTCCGTGAGGGATTTGGTCAGTCATGCTACAGAGTGTCAGGTTGTGGCCCGGCCCGCTTTTGTGGTACTCGGGACTGCAATGGAGAAAACGACAACCTATCCATGGACCACAGGTGGCTCCACTTACACACGGGTGTTATCCCTAAGATCCATTTTTTTTGGGGTGGGGGAGGGGGGGGGGTAAATGGAGAAAAATACATAGCCTTGCCAGGATGGCGATGGCACACACGGAACACTGCTTGGAGAGATCGACGGACAGCTACTTACTACTTAAACCTGAGCCGGTGTTGCGGTCACAGAATCCATGTGATTCGCGACTCTCCCGTTGACTTGACACCCTACTCACCATAAACCAGCCGGCGGCTGGGTCCAAGTGGACCGAGGACCAGCGAACGGCGCTTCCTAAAGCAAAACCGGCCACCTACAGTAAGAAAGTCCCCTTTCACGTTACTGGGATGAATGTCCCAAAAAGTGGCATCGCTGACCCCATACACCTGAACGGTTGGGGTAATCCCTTCCTCTGGAGGGAATATAACCCCAACTGTGGGCACAGGAAGAGGCTTCTGGGAGGGCGCCATCGGTGGGGATCATGGAGACTTAAGAGGAATAGAGGGACCCAGTGTCCCGGTGCCAGAGCTTGGACTCCAGCTTTCGGGACTGATTACACGGAGGCTGACAACATATAACCTGAGCAGAGGAAGACCCTCCACACATACCAACCACAAGCAGTCAGCCCACCACTCCCACACAGTTGGGTCCATCTAAGTAATTCTGGCTGTTTTAGCTGGCAGATGTGGCTTTAACCATACATTTCTATTATTCCAGACATGCACTATGATATCTTGATATATTCCTCTCAATTTGGCACTATTTTTATTAAAGTCCTTTATCATCTAGGTACAATATATAATTTAAAATACTAGAGAAATATTGTTACGCATCTCACAACTTACAACTAATGTCTGTATCTAACATGGTTAATAAAAATCCCTCATGACTACTTTTACACACCTCCCACCCAAATGCTAAAGCGATCAAAAAAAAAAATAAAAAATGAAACGCTTGCATTGTTTCTATAAGACATTTAGAAGGTTAGGCACTTGGTAATCATCAGCTGGAGCAGGACGCGGGAGACTCTCAATCTGACAATGTTACATAATGACACGAAAATTCACAAAGAACACTGTCCTGTTTACAGTCTACAGAAACGCACGCGATTAAAAGGTAAGGTCTACCCTAAGTTGTCGGAAATCAAAAGGAATTTTTATTTTCTGTCCCTTTATTTTTGTCCTCTCCTTGTGAAATAGTTTGCTCACAAACTCTGGGGGCATTTCCGTGAAACGGCAGCAAACTCCAGATGTCACCTACAGTGAACACTATCCTTCCTGTACATCTATTATCATTACATAAGTTGTTCTCGCCTATAAAATACTACAGCGTTGGAACAGAAGGAAACGTCCTAGCAGCAGTCATTGTGCTGTGTATTTAGGTCTCCTGTCTCCTTATAAAAAGTATCTGCATCTAAGTTCTTTCTCCCCCAGATGAGATGGGATTCTGGCATTTCCTGTTAACGACTCGTCTCTCAAAGGGGCGAATAATCAACAGAAACGCTGTATATTTTGTATCCTTCTTGTGGCCCCAAATCAGGAGAGGATATTTTTTCTCCACCACAAATAAAAGGATTTTTTTTTCTTTCTGTTGTTGAGACTCATTTCAGGTTACTGGTTGTTAAAAAAAAGATTTTGAAATGAAAATATTGGACAATCCTTGAGATTTTCTCCCTTTTTACCCCTATAATTGGATGTTTTACTTCTCTATTATGCACTTTTGAAAACAGATACACATGCATACATACACAGAAATACCCAAAGCTAAGTGCACACACACACACATACACACACACATGCACGCGCACACACACACACGCCAGTGTAAACTGCTGCCTCTGTAAAGATGATAAAACTCATCTCATCAAAACTTATCATTGATCTCTTGTTTTGGCATTTAAGCCACACTAGCACCAATCATCCTCCTTCTCCTGATGGCGACTGCGCCCCCTGGTGGCAGAGCCGGATCCCGCTGGGATGCCCAGGGCAAAGTGGTACCCGTTGGGGACGCCCCGGCCGCGTTGGGCTGGCGGGTGCAGCGCCAGGCCCTGGGGGCCAGGAGTCTGAGCGGGGTACACCCCCTGAGAGCCGAGCGCGTCCTGGAAAACGTCTGCCTTCTCGGGCTGCCCGCCGCCACGTTGCTGGAGCGCATCCCACCCAGATGAGCTCGGGGCGGGCAGAGTGGCGCGCGCCGTCCCCAGCAGCACGGGGGAGGAGTTGGCAGTCTTGTATGCCACGCTGGGTCGGGGGGTGAGGGGGGTCTGGGGCAGCTGGCGACGTCCGCGGCTGGGGGTGCTGCCCCCGGAGGTCAGGGTCACCAGGCTCCCCCTAGTGGAGCCACTGCCCTAGATGTAAATGGAAACAAAGCGAATGAAAACAGACGACGATGACAAGAGCCAATGGGG